ATGAAGGATGCCTCTGATGATGACATCCTTTTTAAATTTTATATTTAAAACTCAAATCTTCAAAAAATGCCAGGCTTTCTATCACCTGTCACAGTGGGTTTTGAGAAAGGATTCTAATCTGGGGGACTCAGCTTCACTCCTCTTAGGTAGGAACTGAGGGGTAAAACAAAAGATGGTTTTTACCCACAAGACCCCGACACACACAGCCCTCTCCAAGCTGATCCTGTGTTAGCAAAAGCGGCTAGACTCTATGCAGTGATTCCTAAGTGAATCTGGGCCCAGTGTAAATCATTGCTACTTAAGGTTAATAGAATGTGGGTTTGTATTGGTGCAGTTTTCTCCCCCTTAGCTTGAACTAAGGCAGCATAAATCTATCACTCATTTACTTTTGCTATAGCCTCTGGATTACTGGCTTAGTTCTCTCATTTCTTTTTAAGAACATCACTTCTGCTGTTCTCAGATACTTACTAAATACCATAGTTTTAAATATAATTTATTGAGAGAAACTGTTTTTTATAAATTATTACGGTAGTGCTATGGTCTGAATGTTCGTGTTCCCCCAAATTCATGTTGAAACCCTAACCTCCCAAGCTGATTGTATTAGTAGGGTCTTTGAGATATGCTGAGGTCATGAGGGTGGAACCCTCATGAATAGGATTGGTGCCTTAAAAAAAAGAAAAGAAAGAAACCAAAAAGATCCAGAGCCCCTCTGCCATATGAGGATAAACAAGAAGTCTGCAACCTAGAAAAGGGCCCTCATGCAACCATGCTGCCACCCTGATCTCAGACTTCCAGCCTCCAGACTGTGAGAAATAAATTTCTGTTGCTTATAAGCCACCCAGACTATGGTATTTCGTTAGAACAGCCTGAATGGACTAAGAGAGGTAGGCAGGATTCTGAGATGGCTCCCAAGATTCCTGTGCCCTGGCATACACCTACCACCTCCAGGTTATTCAAGCACTAACCTAGATGCTGCTGTGAAGGGATTTTACAGATGCAATTAAATTGCCAAATCGGTTGACCTTAAAATAGAAGATTATCCTCAGTGGTCCTGACCTAATCAGGTGAGCCCTTAAAGGGACTGGGTTTTCCTGGGGAAAGCGTGAGAAGGCATGTGGAGGGGCCACATGGCAAGGAACTGCAGGGGCCTCTGGAGCTTAGAGCTGCCCTGCCTGACAGCCAGCAAGAGAACAGGGGCCTCAGTCCTTCAACTGCAAGGAACTGAATTCTGCCAACAACCCCGTGAGCTTGAAAGAAGACCCCAAGTTCCATAAAGGGATCAGCCCAGCCAACACCTCGATTTGAAAGCCCTTGAGGAGAAGTCCTAATGTGGCCATGCCCAGACTTCTGGCCTACGGGAACTGAGATAATAAATGAGTGTGCTTTAAGCTGCTACGTCTGCAGTCACTTGTTATGCAGCAATAGAAGTCTATTACAAGCAGATATAACATTCTCACTGTGGCCTAAAATATAAAGAAAGTTAAGTATAAATGTAACTTTAACTTTTAGCCCTCATCCCTCATGCTTCTTCCTTTGGAACAAAATACAAAAGTGTCGTTTAATATGCCTTTTACTTATTAAATAAGTTAAATTGAAAAGTTTAATACTTTGTTTATCCAAAACCTGGAAGGTTTTCTAGAAGTTAGGATCATTGTTAAGCACGCCTTATTCTTTAAGCCACTTTTCACAACTTTTCTATTGTAATTATAAAGTTTTATAACTCATAGTCTATCTTTATAAGACATAAAATGGGAATTCACTTTCCCAAATTTAAACATATGCAGTAAGAATATAGCAAATAAACAGGAAACCTCCTTCTAATACATTCACCCAAAAAAATGACTAATGTATCATGGCTAATATTCCACTGGTAATAATAATCCTAAAAGATAAATGAAAATTTAATTTCATCAAATAAGATCAATATGAAAAAATTAAATGACAAATAGTAATGCTTCTATTTTTGAATTATAAGTGGCTCTCCCTATAACTGAATTTTCTTCTAGTCTTACTCAAGATTTAAAGTATTTTTATTTTCTGTATTAATCAATGAAGCTTAGTTTCTAATTAATTTTGGAGCATCTGAACCTTTAAGCTCCTGGATAAATGTATTGTTTAATACTAACGGGTTTTTTTCCTTTTGTTATTACTGAGATTTGTTTGTCTCAACTAATTGGATGTATTTTAATGATAGTATGCAAAAGGCCAAGTTTCAGCTACTCAGATACCAGTACAAAAAGGAGTTCAGCTGAAGAACCCTTCCCCTCCACCAAAAAAAAAAAAAAAAATTATATATATCAATAAACAGCGCCCCTTAGTGGAAGAAGAACAAAATTATTGGTAGGTTAACAGTACAGTAACAAACTTGCTGAGATATAAAATTGATAAGTACAAAATAATTTTCTCTTTAAAAAAATTAGAAAGAGTTAAGCGGAACATTTTAGATTAATCATTGCAAAGTGGATTATGGGAATTCATAGCATCTTTAGAAAGCCAAAAGGGAGCCACTGTATCTGCTGGGGAAAGTGAAAATCTAGGCTTAAGAGCCTTTAACACATATGAAATTAAATTATCCCTAAGACAAGTAGCGGACTAATCTCAGCAGCCGTTTGTCCTCCTGTGACTCTCCCACTGAGCTAGTACACAACTGAAAGGAAGCTGATTCTTCAGATAAATGGGGTAATTTTAGACACGTACATGACTCTTTAGAATCATTGACTTGTTAATACGGCCAACAACATCTGTCCTGCTAGCTGTATTTTATAGTCAAAATCACTAAGGCTCATGGAAGTTAGGAAAGCAGTAGGGTCACCCTAGCGTAGTGGTTCTCAACCTTCTGGCCCTTTAAATACAATTCCTCATGTTGTGACCCAACCATACAATTATTTTCGTTGCTACTTCATAGCTGCAATGTTGCTACTGTTATGAACTGTAATGTAAATATCTGATATGCAGGATGGTCTTAGGCAACCCCTGTGAAAGGGTCGTTTGACCACCAAAGGGGTCGCGACCCACAGGTTGAGAACCGCTGCCCTAGCGGGTTTGGCTCAGTGATTGGGGCGTCAACCCTTGGACTTAAAGGTCCCAGGTTTGACTCCGGTCAAGGGCATCTACCTCGGTTGCAGGCTTCATCCCCAGCCCTGGTCCACGCATGTTAGGGAGGCAACCAATCAACATGTGTCTCTTTCACATCTGTCTTTCTCACATTGATTTCTCTCTCTGTCTCTCCCCCTCCTTTCCACTGTCTAAAAAAATCAATGGAAAAAATATCCTCAGGTGAGGATTAACCAAAAAAAAAAGAAAAGAAAGTAGTGGAGTCAGTATTTGAATGGCACTGTTTCCAGTTCTCTAACCCTAAAATAAGTGGGTTCATCCATGGCCCACCATATAGAATGTGCTCCATTATATAACTCACTGTTTACTAGCTGAAAAGTGTAATGACTGAGTCAACCGTCTGAGCTCTGTAGCCAAACTTTTCGGAGTCTAACTCTAGCTTTGCCACACACTGACTGTGTGACTTGTGTCTCAATCCTTCTGTGCTTCTGTAAAATGTAGTTGGTAACAGTATCACAGTCAAGGCATTGTTTTGAGGATCAAATGAAAAAACATAAGAAAAGTGCTTAGAACAGTGCCTGGCACCTGAGAAACGCTGGTGTAATTAGCTGATACTGCATACATTGACAAGCTGTTCAAAAAGTTGCAAATTCTAGGATGAATACCAACTATCAACAACAGTAAATTACTTGGGAGAAGTAGACTTTGGATGCAAGCAGAACATCAATGTTTTTACTTGGCATACTTCAGTACTGTTGGAATGTGTCGCAACAAGCATGTTGTACCATTGTAGTTTTAAATAGATAAGTCAAGACAGAATATTTCAAAGCCTGCTTCAGTAATCCATTCTAGCCCTTGGAGCTCAGCTTCCAGAATGCCTTTTATAGATTTAACCTCCTTGTCCTCTTAGCCCTTTGTACAGATGTCCTGCCCTCTGTAGACTAACCTTTTGATGAGACCTTTTGATTATAATCCAGTGGTTGCTGATGTCTGCACTCCCAGAGTGCATCTGCACAAGGCATGCAAATGTTACAGACTCCTGCAGCGTAAGCATGCTGGTGCTCAGCCTGAAAAGGGGCTGCAGTCATGCACCAGGGAAGCCGGGCCACCACTGCGATTTCCATCAGCAGCAGAGTGCTGAAAGCTGTCACAGCATTCTGCTATCTGGGCACCAGGCTGTCTCTCTGCACTTAGATTGACAGGGAAAGAAAAAACTGAAAAGAGAGGCAAGCCACCAAGCATCCTTCCCATGTGTCACTGCCATGGCACCAAAGCCCCAACATAACCGGAGCACAGAAGACCACAGCTGCTCTCCCACCTCCTAGAGCAGCGGTTCTCAACCTGTGGGTCGCGACCCCTTTGGGGGTCGAACGACCCTTTCACAGGGGTCACTTAAGACCATCGGAAAACACATATATAATTACATATTGTTTTTATGATTAATCACTATGCTTTAATTATGTTCTATTTGTAACAATGAAAATACATCCTGCATATCAGATATTTACAATTCATAACAGTAGCAAAATTACAGTTATGAAGTAGCAACGAAAATAATTTTATGGTTGGGGGTCACCACAACATGAGGAACTGTATTAAAGGGTCGCGGCATTAGGAAGGTTGAGAACCACTGTCCTAGAGGATTGCACAACTTAGACCTGCTGTCATCCTTGAGCAGCTTCATCGAGACTATTTACTATCTACTAAGGGTGTGTTTTTTAAAACAAATAGTCAATTGTCGCGGCATTAGGACGGTTGAGAACCACTGTCTTAGAGGATTGCACAACTTAGAACTGCTATCATCCTTGAGCAGCTTCATTGAGACTATTTACTATCTACTAAGGGTGTGTTTTTTTTAAACAAATAGTCAATTCTCTCCTTTGTAAATAGGTGTGTATCAGCGAGGGTAATGCTAGCTGCTATAACAAAAGTTTATTTCTCCTTACATTAATCTTCTGTGGATGCTTTGGGTGGGAGAAGCAGGGCTCTGCTCTGCACAGTCCTTCTGAGACCCATGTTGATGGGGGAAGGAGAGGGCTTGCTGTCTTCAATGCTGGCTTCCAAGATCCCGTGCGCTTCCAGCATCTAGCTGGTAGAACAGGAAAGAGGAGCCTTCATGGGGGGGGTTT